GGTAACCCCTACAATTAGAGGGCTAACCTAATTCGATCACACGAGTTAGTCCTATATGAGTTAATAACCCATAGATTTAGTCAAAAGATATAGGGACAATGATATTAAAGTCCCACATAAGAGAATTAATTACTGCAAGGTCCATTGACAACTGAACTAAACTGCATTAACAACTTATTATTTACCTCCAGCCTTAATAGCCTTCCCATTGATGATAAGCCCTGAGAGGGGAGACAAAAATGTTTACATCTTGTGGATGCAAGTCAATTGTTATGCATGTTTAGTATTGAATGTATTTTATGTGAGATGAAGTATGTATTGATAATGGATTAAGAGGTGAGAGATTTGATTTTGATGCTTTTAGCATAAATGCTTTTTTTGGCACCAAGTATTCCAAAATCCTCATTTGATTTTGTATTAGAGTATGATTGGAGTCATTAGTTAGTTTATTCAATTATCTATGTGTGACTGTTTGGATTGCCTTAATCAAAGGTCCAAGCTATAAATTAGATATCTCAAAAGTTAACTATTAAAGTTGTCTTATTTATGCTATATTTATGCATGCGCAATGGCTGATACTGCGAAGGATGCTACCCTTGATTGGTCATGGCAGACGTGTTTGTTTTTCTAAATTGTTGTTTTGCCCCTATTTGAACCAACTCTAAGTGCTCAACTTATTTCTATGTTTCCACAAACTTTTATAATCTAATTTTAAATATTTTAAGTATTTATACACCATTAATCTTTTTCAAATAATTTTGGAATCCCATTATTTCTAATACTTTCAAAGTGAATTGAGAAGTTAACTTTAGCCAAGGTTGATCCTTAGCTATAATGATTGGTTTAATTAATTGAGTTTATAATTGGTTATGATGGAGGTCATTACAAAGAGAGTCATTGATGTGCATGCATGGTGAATAAATTGATGTTTATTATTAGAATAAACCATTTCCCCCAGTATTTTAAGAAAAAATAAATATTAAAATTAATTGAAAACTAACAAATAAAATAATTCAATTCTAAAATTTGAAAAAATAACATGTAGAAATAATTAAGGTATAAATTATACAATTTGGGTTAAGGTATAAAAATAATTTATGCAAGGAATAATTTGAGTTAAGATATAAAAATAATTTATACAAAAAAATAATTAGTGTTTAATCATATAGATTATTGTTGCTCCGATACTCTTTGAGCCATTAGAGGCCAGAGGAGTGTGTAATATCCAATGAGTTAAGATAACCGGATAATCTAATATTTATACTTGCATGTTTGGATAGTTGTGAATTTTGTGAATATTAATATATTGTTTTGATATGTAATTATGCATATAAAAACATATGTATGGTTTTAAGAAAACTTATGTAAAGTGAGAATGATTTAAAAAGCTATATCTATAGTTGCGAAAATGGTTTTATATGTAGATAATGTAGTAATTTATCTTGAGCATGAAGTAGTGAAATATATATGTTGCATTGTGTGATGGCATGATCATATTGTAAGAGGGTGGGAGTTCACTCTAAAAGGATAGTTTTATAAATTCATATGGTACTCACTGATACCATAGGTGGCTACGGTGTTTAGTCTTTCTTGCATGGAAAGTCCCAATACTACCATTAAGGATAGATTAGACATACGACACTCTAAGTTTTTAAAAAGGGAGAATTTGTTATCTGAGAATAGGTGCAAGTGCTTTTAGCCGGGCTACCTCCCATTATTTGGTGAGCTTGGATCAGTCTAATTACATAGACTTAATCCCATTAAATTATTAGCCCACGAATTTGATCAAAGGTAAAGCAAAGGAGATAAGGTTGGTGTAATGATCATGCATTGTATGAATTTGTCTTGTTATGTTTTGTAATCAATTAATGGTTTTATAGCCCACTTTACATGCTCCTATACTTTCCTAACTTACTTGTATATAAATTAGACTATTAGGTTACTGAGATATTGTTTTCACTCCCGTAGTTATAATTTTACAAGTAAAGGCTCCTCTAAATGCAAGGGGGAAGCGGTGCGAGTAAGAAGTAGGTGAGATACTTTTTGTAATGCACTAATTTTAATTAATATATAATATTTGAATATATATGCATCATTGCCAACTTAGAACAATCATTATTTTGATTACACTTGTATGAAACTACTCATGTCATTTTATGTGTTTTGGCATAGAATATTATATGTGTGGTAAAGCTCTTGTAAGAAGCCAAAATACTAGTGTAAGTGCATGATTGATATTATTTGATGTGTTTTAGTGGATTTTGGCCAATGGAATTATTATGTAATGAATGATGATGTTGTGCCCCCCTTTTGAAGTAAAGGATGGAGTTTGGTTGATCAAATCATGTTTGGAATGTTTGATTAATAGTGTGATTGCTCTATCAGGTATACATTGGTTCTTATGATGTGGTTCGACTGTCGTTTAAGCTATTGGCACTAGGTGTAATGCATGGGACGCCCTTGGACTTGTTTTGAAAGGAAAAGTAGTCATTTTCTTTCTAGGTGTTCATTTTTTAAATGGTGTTTTGTTTTAGTGTAAAACTGGTGCCATTAGCTAGGTAATTCACTTAGCTACATATACACACTTGAATCACTTGAATTGGATGTCGGACGGTGAAATAACACACGCTGGAAGTTCATTCCAAGATGCTGTCATGATAGTATTAACATATTATAGTGCATGATGTCTTGTGCCACGACGCATGATAAAAAATAATAGGCCATTATGGGTATGGTTTTGGCCGAGGCAAATTGTCCTAAAATGGATGAAATGCCCATTTCGTGCTTGTTTTGATATTTTTATACTTATTTTAATGTGTCATGCTTCTGTGTTGATTTTATACATTATTTTACCACTAATTTGAGCTCAGATAATTTAAAAAAAAAAAAGTTCTTAGGATCCTAATCTTTAAGTACGTTTTTATAAATATGATTCAAGTTTAAATCTTTTTATCCTTGTAATCTAACCTGGGAATTTGTAAAACTCTAATTACTATAATAGTGCATTGTGTGTGGCTTGTACAACGCGCACATCACACCATGCACCTCTAATCATTTTCATAAGGAAAAAAATGTGATTACATTATTAATTTCACCTTAACATTGAATAAATTTTTAATTTTATTTTTATTTAAATAAAAATTTGTATATTTGCATTATATTCTCTCTTCATTAATGACTTTAAATAAGAATAATATTAAAAAAAATTAATTAATATCTCATCAAACAACTTATAATAAAAAACATATATATGTTCTGGGTGTTAATTAAGAAAAATATTAAAATTTATTAACTCCATTTAAAAATTTACTAGGTTTCGTTGTTTTTTGGGGTTAAAATTTAATAAGTTTCTAATTTTACTTATATTAAATATAGACGTGACTTAGACACACTTCAAAGTTTAATTTTGATGGTTTCTTGAAAAATTTTATATGTATTCTTTTTTACTTTACTAATATTTTAATATAATTTTTTATATTTAAATATTTAAATATTATGAAAATAAACGATAACAGTGGTGAAAATCTCATTATAAAAATTAAAGTATTAAAAATTCAACTGATTATTGACTCATTAATCATAACTAAAAATAATGAGTAAATATAGGATGTAAAAGTCATGATTCGAAGAAGGGTAAATCATATACTGTTTTATTTCTTTTTGGATTTTAAGGTCAATCTCAATTTAGCTTGTGTTACTTGAAAATTTTCATGGAAGAAATCAAAATTAAACAAGCTTTTACTTTGTTGTTCCACACAACAGGTCTATTTTGGTCGAACTTATCTTAGAATTTGTTCAAGAAATAAAATAACAACTCATGTTTTGATTTAGTCAATCTCCTCAGTCCTCACCTGCTCAAATTGATCCATGACACTCCATGAAACAAGAGTGTTCACATTTATGATTTGGCTCGATTTGGTTTAAATATTAATCAAAGTTTGAATTTTCTTTATGGAATATTTTTTCTTGTCTACATATTTACTATTTTTTTTTTCAATATTAACTAAATTTATACCTGTGCATGTTTTAGTTTTTAAGAATAAAAATAAATATAAATATTAACAAAATATTTTAATATCCTTAAAGTAAAATATATCAGTTTTCCCTTTATTTTATCTTAATTATAAATATTTTTTTAAAAATCAATACAAATTCCTCTTAAAACTAATAGTTAATAATTATAAAATATAAATATGTCTTTTACTTTTAAATTTTTATTTTCATCCATCCAATTATTAATTAACAGTCAAGTCACATGTTATATTAAAATGTCATTCTTGATATAATCTTTTAAATTTTTATTTGTATTTTAAATTTATTAGTAATAAAAACTAATTTATTTAGCATTTTTAAAAAAATTAAATACATACTCCATCTTTTTATAAAAATATAAAACATTTTTTATCAAATTTTTCAATTAATAAAATAATTATTTGTCTTTAAAATAATATCATCTTTTTATATTTACTATTTAATTGAATGTCACCTTAAAATAAATATAAAATAATTCATTCATTAAGACACTTTTAAAAAAAATAATTACATTTACAAACACTAAAATGCTTTATATTTTCAACTTTTCTTTTTTACCAGTACCTTATATCATCAACTTAAACAAAAAATCTTTAGACAAAAAGGATATTTTTAACAATTAATCAAAGCATTTATCTATTAAAAACCAATATCTACTTATCTTCAAATTGAAGACAATATTTGGTTAATTTTAACAAATTTTTTACATGTGATATACAAATAATTAAATTTAAGACAGAAAATTTTGATCAGTTTTTGTCAATTTGATGTAATTAGCTCAGATCAGTTTTGAACACCCTTAACATAAAGTCCCAAAAAGAAAAAAAAAAAAGGGGTGGGCATTCCAGGACACCAATAAATTGAGATTCATCTCCATGAGGTGTAATTGCATTGACATATTCTCATAGCTAGATAAATCGATATCCGATCACCCATGAAATTCTAAAAACTAGGAACAATGATCTATATGGACCCAAAGGCAAAAAGAAAATATATAAATATTTTCTTCTAAGTCTTTCCATAGATATATAAAACTGATATTACACTAAGTGAAAAATGAGAAAAATAATGCGACATCAAACAAAAGTGATACAAACTGGGGGGCAAAGCCAACCCCAGACGTATGAGAATGACAAAAAATGAATAGCATTAAAAAAAAATAAGAATATTCTGAGTTAATTATGAGGATAACTTGACCCCATCAGAACATTAATCCTCCATATAATACCAACACTAAACCTACTACTTCAATAGTCTTCACAAATAGACTACACTCAATCCTTTCACCACCTCTTTGCCCCATTGTTGCCCCTACCTCTCCCACTTCTAGAATTATTGGAAAACCTACCATTTCTGTCATTAGAAAATCTGCCGCCACCCCTTCCACCAGAAAACCTATTGCCGCCACCGCCTCGACCACCACCAAATCTACCTCTTGATTGTTCTCTTTCTTGCAAACTTGGCAATGCCTCCAATACTTCTAAACTAACGTTAGCAGCATTTTCCTGACCTGAATGATGGATGTATATGGGTGAAGAGCATGGAGAGATATAACTAAAGACCATAATATAACAATTATCCCTCATGGAGAGATAGAGATTGAATTATATCATTGGATAAGAGTTACAATCAAGTACTAGAAAAATCCCCTTTCATCAATTTCCTTTTTTTCCCTCGAAGTATCAAGTAATTAGTTAACGAAAGTCTTACCATTCAGAAAGGTATCTAAGTCTTCAGCTGACACATCAAAAACAGCACCATTTCCATCTGCAGTGAGAGTAAGACCCTTGATTGAGTCAACCTTCTCCTGAGGCAAGAATCTCCTCAAGATTCCAAATGCAAATCTGAAAACGACCCATAAAAGCAGTAAATAAACAGGTCAAAATTCACTCGCATGACAAATTTAGTAACCCTCATGACTACTAGAAAGGGATCAATCTAGACCAAGTATTAATTTATGCTGATTTGATGTTCAAGGAATATGTACATGTAGACCCAAAAAATATTGCAGCCATGAATTGGCATAGGAACATGCAACAACATTGATTTGAATGGATGAAATACTTATTCTTCAAGGCATTAACTTGATTTAAAACTCAACTAAACAACTGCCAATTTAATATTTTGATTGAGCAAGCCAACCAATAAGTTAACACAGCTAGAGCTCAATGAGTTAAAAGAGTATCATGAGAACCCCACATATTTTCCATACAATAGAGATGACCCAGGGACAATAGCCAGATTATACATGTGTGCATCTGAAGCATGTTTTAAAGTCCACATATATTGGCATTACCCATATATATAGGTTCTAAGAGAAGTGTAATGCCTTCTGAACAAATTACAGCATTCGTTACATAAACCATTTCTAATCAAGGATAAGTCATCAATAATGTACACACACCTAAGATTTTCTCACATCAGTTCAAACTACTATGTGTTATACCTAGATGTAGATGTAAATTAAGATGCAAGGACAATAATTCAAAAAAAATAGTTTTTCAAATTCTCACGAAGGGGAATAGATGGGTCTGCCAATCTCAAGAAGTAACGTGACATGGTTCTCCATGGAAGTGAGTAGTGATCTTTTCTTTATGTCAGTATAACCCTGCACATTACAAGAGAAATCAGAAACCAACATTTTTCCAACTCTGGGCATGATAATGAAGATACGAAATTGAAAGAACAGGAATCACAGAAGGTTGGTACTTGAAAAGAAAAGACAAAAAGGACAGCTTGAGTGAATCATGTGGACTTACAATAGTCTTGGCAAGAGCTTTTGCAAGTAATTCAACAGCTGTTAAGCCTGAATTGTTTAAAAGATCCTCCGCAGCAGATTTGAAAGCAGGGATGACACTGTATTAAGGATTTATATAAGATGTTGGCAAAATATAACATTAAGCACAATTAATTAACAAATAAGAAACGTACCTATCAGACACCTGGGTTATCAATTTAGCAGCATTCCCACCAGCAGCTTTGGCAATATCAGCAGGCTGAGGAGCAGATATGTGTTCAAATTTCACACCAGATGCTCTTTCTATTTTTGATATATTTGACCTTCTTGGATCATAAAGCATCACAGCAACTCCAGTATTACCTAAAATGTTCAATGCCATTAACTCCAGTATTACCAAAAAGTTGATAACCCCAACACTGCAAATTTTTAATTGGTAAAAATATTCAATTGATACCTGCTCTTCCAGTGCGCCCAGATCGATGGATATAGTCTTCTACATCACGTGGGGGTTCACACTGAATCAAATGCATACATTAGAATGCCAGATTATAACACACATAGAAATTATTTAAAATAATCCATGAAGATCCATCAAACCTGGATAATTAACTGAACATCATTAATGTCCAAACCACGGGCTGCCACATTAGTGGCCACTAATGTTGTAAACTTCCCAGCCCTGAAACCAGCTAAGGTGACCTACAAAACGGATAGATATGATTTAGCAAAGCTACTATAGCAAGAGTGCTTAAGATAAAGAAAAAGATTAAAAGAGCAAGCAAATCAATCCTAAAAAATATAAAGTTATATGACTAAAGCACACCTCACGTTGTGACTGCTGTATATCACCATGCAGAGCTCGTGCACCAGGCAACAGCCCTGCAAGCTCAGAAGCAGACTCCTTTGTCTCAGTAAATATAATTGTCCGACCTCCACTGTAACAGAACCAAATGCCAAGCAATGAAGATAAAAAATCAGAAGACAATAGAAAAACAAATCACAACCAAATTACTGAACATTGGACAATAGAAACTCACTTGCAATAGCAACGTATAACATCTGGAATAAGTTGGGACCTGGCAGAACTAGAACATGGGAGAACAATATGCCTAACATTAATGCTAGCTTTCATTTTCTCATTGCCCACCAGGTCAGCAGTTTTTTTGTTAGATTTCAGAAATTTCATAGAAATCTGGCAGAAAAAAGAACAGGTTTCAAATGAGGTTAAAGAACACATGATCATTCATAAACTAGATTTCGTAAATGCATGGAAGATGGAAACCATACACTCTTAACCCAGTCTGGCAAAGTAGCACTGAAAAGAAGTGTCTGAACTTTACTAACATCCTCTACTTTACCTGGAAAAAAATAAATAAAAGTTTGTTTAAATTCTGAAAACATCTTATCACCTCAAAACATCAACATGCTTAAGACCTTGAATAAGCCAGACTGAATGTGTCAGGCATAAGTTGATAAGTACCAGGAACAAAGCTGCTTAACATTATCTCAGTTAATATTTGACACGAACATAGCCTTATCAAATTGTCCAATGTGCATAACTTAAATAAAAGTCAACACACAGCAGCACTCGATGATTACAAGAAAAGAAATTCATACCCAAAATGAGTTCAACATCTTCAACGAAACCCATCCTCAGCATCTCATCCGCTTCATCCAGTACACGGAACCTTAGTTGGCTCAGGTCAAGATTTTTCCTCTCTAAATGATCCTACACAAATATATACATATAAGCGTAAATAAATTTTAAACAAAGAAATTGACGCTTCTATTTTCACCACAATTAGAAAGAAGTGCTAAAGTAATTACTTTTATGCGTCCTGGAGTTCCAACAACAATATCAACACCCCTCTTGAGTTTAAATTCTTGTGCTTGATATGGAGCTCCACCATATAAAACACAAGAGGCCAATCCCAGTGCCCCACCATAAACTTCAAAATCAGCAAACACCTGATACCCAACATTTTCCACAATTAATACAACATAGGGGGAAAGGTAACAACCATCAAGCAGTCATGAATAAAAAGATCATATGGAACCAGCACATGCATAATGTACCTGGTTGGCCAATTCTCTAGTAGGTAAGAGCACAAGAACACAAGGAGCGCTTCCATATCCAGTCTTTCTGGCTGCTTTTGCAGGACCATTTATTAAAGACTCTAATATGGGTAGCACAAAGGCAAGAGTCTTACCCTGCATTTTCACAAGATTACACGGTAAGCCAAACAAGGAAAAAAATTACAAGCAAGTTCAAGAGCAAGAAAAAACTACTCGAGAGTTTAAGAGCAAAATATCAACATATTTCAACTTCTTTCAAGATTTGGATTCAGCAGACAGCATCTATGAAAATAAAAACGAAAAATCTGTTATTGTGTAACTTTCTCTCATCAAAAGACTACATTCAACGAAGCCTGGGGGCACACACCTACTTCGCGTAATTGTTAACCTATTAATGTTCTCATCACCCAAAAAGATTAACATGCCTACTTTGCGTAATTGTAAACCTCTGAGCTCACAAATAGCAGTTTTAAGACAGGCAAAACAGAATCATTGATACAGAGAGAAAGAACACACCTGCCCAGTGCGAGCTCGACCAACCAGATCAGAGCCGTCTAGGATGGTATCAAAAGTCATCGCCTGGATGGGAAATAACGATTCAATCCCCTTCTCTTTCAACTTGGCCCTCAACGGCGCCGATATCCTAAAGTTCGAAATTGCATTAGGATTCTCCTTCTCAACCTCTTCCCCTTGAACTTCAGGCTCGTCCAACTTAGCCTTTTTCTTCTTCCTCTTCTCCTCACTCTTAGATTTCACACTATCAGGCTCAACCAACTCAGAACTCGTCTCACTCTTTACATCATCCTCACTCGCCATCTTCTCAGCATCCAAAGCTTTACGCTTCTTGCTCTCCTTCTTCTTCTTCACCGTAACCCCATCTTCAATTGGAGCCTCGTTCTTTATCTTCTTCTTCTTCTCCTTTTTATCTTTGGGAGTCTCAGAGAGAATAACATCAGAGACAGGTAGAGAAGGCATGGCTTGCAGATACGAACAAGAAACTTCTGGGTGTCAAAGGGAGACGGAGGCTCCTGCTTCAATTAGGTTATGGCAGTGACTCGCAGAAGCAGGAGACGAAAGAGAAAGAGCCCACCCGAGGTTCTCATATTTATCGTTTAGCAGTGATACGTTTGTTGCCGTCGGATAGTGAAACCCTATTCTATTTGAGATGTTACCCGTTGGATTTGAAACATTGAACTCACACGTTTCACTCTTTGCCTGTTTGGTCGGAAAGATTAAAAATAGTTAAAACTCACATACACGTGTTAGAAATTAAAATTTTTAGAATTAAAACTAAAATTTATAATTAGTTTGATATTTGAAAAAAAAAATTGACACATTAAATTAAATTTAAAACAAAACTTATTATCAAATGGGAAGAACATTATTAATTGAACGAATATGCACACACTAAAAGAATGGTTAAAAAATGTAGGGAAAATTAATTTTTTAGTTCTCCAACTTTTAAATCATTTGTAACTCAATCCCTCAACTATAACTTGCCTATGACTCAACCCCTCAATTTTTGAATCACTTACAAATTAGTCCTTTAACCTTTGTTAATTTTTTTTATATTAGCTTATATCTCACATTAAAGAATAAGAAGAGAGTATTTTAAAATAATATATAAACATTTTTGTTATCCCTCTTATTTGATAAAAAAAATTAAAAAAAATTAAAAAAATAAGGACCAAGTTATAGGTAAATCAAAAGTTGAGGGATTGAGTTACAGCGAGTTATAGTTGAGGGACTGAGTTACAAATAAGTTAAAAGTTAAAGGACTAAAAGATTAATTTTTCTAAAAATGTATGTCTTCTAAATAAAATAAATTATTTTTATCTTCATCTACATCTAGATCAATGAAATCTAAAGCCAAAACTCGATTCAAAATATTGTTAGGAACTCTAATAATTTAAATATATTGTAATGAAAATTAAAAATATCAAAATATATCGCAATATAAAATATCAAAATATATAAATTTATATATAAATATTGAAATTAATATCTAAATATAAATATAAAATCTAATTTATTAAGATTTTTGTAAAAATTTTAAATTTTTTTAATTATTTAATTACGTACTTCCAGAAATCATAATATAATATTTTTAAATTTATTTTCTTATGATAAATAATAGAAATAGGATTTAATTATTTTTAATCGTGATTTCAATTGAATTATCAATTTAATTTTTTTTATTTTTTATTTTATTTTTATTCTGAAATTGAAGGTTTATTCTAAAAATATTTTTATTACGATATATATTTTTTAAGAATGAAACTTATCTACTTTTATTTTGATTTAAAATTGTTCCGGGGACCATATGTGCGTGTATGTGACTTATATAACATATTTTTTTCCGAAAAATATCATGAGATGTAATGATCTATCAGGTTAGAGTGTTAATCCCGTCTATATTTTTAAATTATATAGAATGAATAAAAATATTTTTGAACCTGCTAATCTATCATTTTATCCAAAACTAAAATTATTTATTGAAAATTTGAATATATTAAACTCTAATTATATTCAAAGTTGGATTTCAATCTCATCTATAATTTTTAAGTATATAATCTAAAGAAAAAAATATTAATTAACCACGTTATTCCATCGTTATATAATTAGATAATATAGATAATAAGATAATTACTTAATTAAAAAGTAAATTATTATAAAATCATTATATTATATCTTCACTTATATATAGTACAATATAAAATTTTTTCACTATACCTATACATGAAATAGTAGAATGAATAATAATAGTGGGGCCTACTATTTTTTATTTAAATGCAATGATAGGTTTTTCTTGCATTTTTATGTTTAGCATTAAAATTTAAATTTGCTATAACTTCCATAATAATGTATGATTTGATATTTTTTATCCATGATAATTAATTACTGATTAGCCCCCATTAACCCATATTCTTTTTTATTTTCTTGCTCTCAATTTTTGCTTAATGAGTCTTGCGGTTGGATATCATGAGATATAAATGTGATAAGAAATTTTTTTTTTTTTTTTGGGTAGAGGAAAGCAAGAGACCTAGTTAGGATTTAGTACAAAGTCGTGTTTGCGCCCTATGCCAAAAACATCCACATTCAACAGTTTTCTTAAATCGTTAGGATGCTGTAAAGCAGATAGTGCTTTCCATCGTCCATCATAGTCCAGGCAATCAACACACTCATTCTCCTCAGTAGATATGGTTAAGATCAATTTGTCAATTCTGTTGTAATAGAGATTGGATCTGCTTGATGAGCCTGCTACAAGCGTTAACAAGTGTAGTTTCTTTTGCCAAGAGTTGCATGGCCAGCGAGGCAGCAAGCGATCTACATCAATTCTTTCCTATGTCATAATTTTTTTTTTTTTCCTTTTGCTTTCACACTCAGTATCCTGAAGTTGGGTTCATTATCCTCTGAGTCAAAAGAAGGTTTGGGCTAGAAATGTGAAATGGGCCTAAAAAATGGTTATGGGCTTTGAAGATGGCTACATAAACTGATGGGGTATAAGAAGAAGGGTGTAAATGAATTTGGTCTAGAAGGTTGTAGATGAATTTGGTCTCCCCCCCCCCCCTCCTCTCTGTGTGTGTGATCGTGGAGTTTCTTCTCTTCCATAACTTCTATTCCTTTATACCCCTCCCATATTTCTTGTTTTTATTATTCTATAGTTTATATTTTCCTTATTCCTGTTGAAACTATGTATTTTGGCTCAAATTTACATTAAACAAAGATTAATTGTGTTTTTATAATTTGAGTTCATGACATTAAACCATCAAGAATGGCCAGCTTTGCTTGTAGGGATGTGCAATTTCCAGTATTGCGACAGCACCCATGCAACTAGGTACCATCAAAAAATGATTGTGTGATATTGAACTCCATAACAAAAAATGTCTTTAATATTAGCTGAAGTCACCAAACATCACTCTTATTGAAAAATGTTAGTTGTGACCCTGTAATGGTAAACAAATATGTAATTTTTATATTTTGCCCTTCTTTTGTAATTATTGACTGTAATAAATAGTTGTTTAAGAATTCAAATGGCAATTTCACCAGAGTTTTCTCTCCACCCCTTGATGTATTTTCTCTTTTATTAGCTGATTGCAATAATACTCCCCAGCCTTAATTAGGATGCCTACATTTATTGAAAAAAAAAAAAGAAGAATTCAAATGGCAATAAATATATAGAGTGTAAAATTGAAAAAAAAAAAGTATTAATTACTCTAACTTAGTTTCGTCTTATATTTAGGACAAAAAAACTTTAAAATCTAGTGTTATATTAAGGGTCAAAATAATGACATTCATTTCCTATAAAAAATTGTAAATAATATATTTTTACTTTTTAATTACATTTCTAAAAAACTAACAGCACACCCCCATGCAGGAGCGAAATCTAGTTATATATATAAATTGGATTCGTTTTGGTGTATTTCTTGCAATTATATGCTTCAACAGTCAAGTTCGATTGCTGATTTGTTGTAGATTCGAACTAATTTATGAGTCAAGCTGCCGATTATAAACATAAAAAATTTAAATTTAATTTTTATTTGAGATCCAAAAGACAATTTTTTAAAAAATTTGTGACCGGGGCATCCATTTGGATGCCACGTGTACACACGCATGGCACCAAATAACTTAAATTAACGCCCATCTACAGCACTTTAATGGCAGGATACATGTGGTTGGTTTCTTTTTTAATGCTTTATGGGAGAAATGACTCGAAACTGAATTCAAGACAATGTCACTAAGAGAATACATCAACGATTAGGCATCCATCTGAATGCCACATGTAAATTTTTGGTCAAAAAAAAAGTTAATAGATGTGTTAATTGCAAGACAAAAATGAATGGGTTTTAAAACGTTTAAAGACAAATGATCCAAAATCAAATTCAAGACACCTACAAATCTAAAAGAATACTTTAAAAACAAAAATAATCATTGACTTTTTAAAATATTATGATGAATTTATAATTCCTTAGATATTTTTAACTAAAATGAACACTTTCTTTATCTTAAATCATGATTCATGATTTATAAGGCGTGAATTGTAAATCTATATAAATTAATATACTTATAAAAAATTTGGAAAAGTGTTTTTTTTATATATTATTTGTATATCTATTATATATATAGATTTACATAACAAAAATTACTTATAATGAAACTCAAATTTTTTTATAATTATATATTTAAAAGTACTTTTCATTATATATATCATCTAAAAAATTTAATTTATTAAAATTAATTTTTAAAAAAACATGTCCAAACATGATATCATCATTACAATAATTAATTTTTATCAAACTGTCTTTTAACAAATAAATTTTTATTACCCTCAAAATCTAAACACACATTTAGTTTATGAATCCCCATCCATTTGCAGATGTATTTGAAGAGCCCAACTTTCTTGGGTCATCAGCCTCATTTCCCCACCCAATTGACTCGAAATTGGATCAACCTGTGGTGAGCCCAATACCATATGAATATGGTCCAAATAATTCCTTTTCGGCTTATGAATGCCCCGACTACATGTCAAGGTCTCATGAATTATGTTTTTGCATCATTATTGAGGAAAGTCATTCTAATATTTTTCACACAGTCATGTGTTACTCTACAGTGTTGCATCTTAGGATTATTCCAAGCACGAGAATCTTCAACTCCATATTTAAATATTTTTATATATAATATAAAATCTAAGAAAACCCACATAATTTATCATCAACGAATAACATGACTTACATTGAACTCCCCGTAATAGATGAGACTCATAGCCTAGTTCTATCTAGTCTAGTCTTATCTATATAGGCATAATGTTATGGCCTTATTCACATACAATAATATGAATAGTTTGCAACCGTGAATTTTCTCTTTTAATCTTTTTTTTTGGATCCCACTTTTATATATGACACTTTTTTTATTTTTCCCTGATAAAAAGAAAAATCTATTCATAATAAAAGATGCTAAATTTTCCTATTTCTTTAACTAATATCAATAAAAAATTTGTAAAAAGCTAACTTTTTTAATTAAAACTATATGTGATCTTAACTTAAAAATGTAATTTTAAAATTTGTATTACTTTTTATTTA